TGTGTGTGTGTGTGTGTGTGTGTGTGTGCGCGCGCGTGCGTGTGTGTGCGCTTTGGTTGTTCTCGCCTTAATCTTCTCCTCTTCCCTCTCTTCCCCCCAGTGATCATTTCCCCATACCTCTATGAGAGTTACCCCATGCCGGTCATCCCACAACCAGAGGTCCTCAACTCCGGCGCTTACAGCCCCATTACCGTGTGGACGACGACCGCGCCGTTCCACGCCCCTCTCCCCAGCGGTCTCTCGCCTCTTGCCGGATACCCCTCCTCCTTGGGGCGAGTGAGCCCTCCTCCTCCGTCCGACACCTCATCCAAGGACCACAGCGGCTCCGAAAGCCCCATCAGCGATGAAGAGGAGCGGCTCCAGTCCAAGCTCTCAGACCCGCATGCCATTGAAGCCGAGAAGTTTCAGTGCAACTTATGCAATAAGACCTATTCGACTTTCTCCGGGCTGGCCAAACATAAGCAGCTGCACTGTGATGCCCAGTCTAGGAAATCGTTCAGCTGCAAATACTGTGATAAGGAGTATGTGAGCCTGGGAGCCCTGAAGATGCACATTCGGACCCACACGTTACCTTGTGTCTGCAAGATCTGCGGCAAGGCGTTTTCCAGACCTTGGCTGCTCCAAGGACACATCAGAACTCACACTGGTAAGAGAACAAAATGTAGACAGGCGTATGGCTCTCAGATAGAGTGAAGCCCCGGGCTGGCTGGCTGGAGGATTTGCGCGCGGTGGTGACACCGTGCTTTTAATGAGGGACAGTCATTGGTAGCTGCCTCCTGACTACTCAGAAAGCGGTGACAGCACAAAGTGCTCCTTTTCTCACTAGCAAACTCTGCTTCGGGGACTGCAAACAACATTTAGACTTTGGAAAGTAGATTCAGGAAGGTTTGGTCTCAAAGATCAGTTAAAAAATCAAGAAAGATGTGCTTGAATGTGTGTTCTGTGAAACTGCCCCCAGCAATCAGTAAATACAAATGTTGCTATCTTAATCAATTGATTTGGTAAATAGATAGGGTTTCCCCTTCGTTTTCTGTCAGTTAAGGTCTCGCTGTGATATTTATCACTCCTTAGTGAGTTGGATAGTTGAAACTACGTTGCTTTGCCTCTTTTGTTTTGGGGGGGGCGCGGCATTTCTTATTCCTCACCCAGAATCATGCCACGGGGCGTCGAGGCACGTATACTGCCTCCGTCACGATGCAGAAAGAGGGAAAAGGGTAAATATTGGGAAATGTTGGGAGGCGCTCAACACCAGCTGCACCTGCTGAAGCAGGAAGCTTTCATAAGTGAAAGTCCTAGATGATGTGAATTCTTTCTGCAAGACTGGCAGCAGTTAGTGTGCTGTGTGTGACTTCTTAGTGCAACGCTGAAATCTATATGAAAGGGACAGATATCAAAATAAGCATCTACTGTGGGGAATTTTAATCAGGCTCTGCTGCTTTTCATTCTGTTGGCGAAATGTGGTGGATTCTTATGAATGTTATTTGACTTTGTGTTTCCTCTAAAAACACTGACTTTCTTTTTCATCCCTCACCCTCACCCCCAGGGGAGAAGCCTTTTTCTTGCCCTCACTGCAACAGAGCATTTGCAGACAGGTCAAACCTGAGGGCTCATCTGCAGACCCATTCTGATGTAAAGAAATACCAGTGCAAAAACTGCTCCAAAACCTTCTCCAGAATGTCTCTTCTGCACAAACACGAGGAATCGGGCTGCTGTGTAGCACACTGAGTGACGCAATCAATGTTTACTCGAACAGAATGCATTTCTTCACTCCGAAGCCAAATGACAAATAAGTCCAAAGGCATTTTCTCTTGTACTTACTGACCAAATAATATGTATAGATAAACACACACACACACACACACACACACACACACACACGAGCTGCAAGAGCACGGACCCCATGTGTTTAAAGTTAATCCTTTCCATGTGAAGTTTAAAATTACTATATATTTACTGACAGATTGAGAGACTAAAAGACAAGAACCTTTCTCTTCAAAGATGAAGTGAAAAGCACATTGCATCTTTTCTTCCTAAGAAAGAATGCAAAGATTTACATTGCTGCCAAATCATTTCAACTGAAAGAACAGTGTTGCTTCGCAATAGAGTTTGTACTAGAATGTCGTATAGGAAGAGAATCTGCCAGACACGATCTCAGGTGCCTTAAAAAGTATTCCAAGTTTACTTCATTACATGTCTGATGTCTGGTTGCCGTCGTTGAGATAAAGCCTCTTTTTGATGAGCTATAATGCTTTAAAGTGTATGTCTAAGAGAGAGAAGAAAAGAACAAGAACAAAATGCAGGAGAATGTAGTAAAGTATTTTTTGTTTTGTTTTTGCCAATAAAAAGTATGTGCCTTGCGGGAGGAGGAAGAGACTAGCTTTGAACATTCCTGGTGCATGCTCCATGTCTTACTTTTGAAAATAATTCTAATGATTTTCTAAAATTAATTAAAGATGGGAATAAGTGCAAGAGAGGATTCTTAGAAATCCAGTAATGTGCTTAAACTATTTTAAATGCATACAACAAATGCAATAATACAACACCCCTTCCAAGTGCCTTTTTTAATGAATTGTATAGTTGATGAAACAATGTAAATTTGTGTTTATTTTTATATGATTGAATGAGTTTTGTATGAAAGTGAGATGTCTATAGCTATGGCTATGAACAACCCAAAGACTTGTGAAATCAATGTTTCTTTTTTAAAAGGATTTTTCAAGTTCTTTTTTTTTTTTTACAATAAACATTTTTGATTTAAAATCTGTTGTTTGTATGCTATATTCAGAGATTTTGCTAGCTTCGTGATTTGTATCAGACTGCAATAGTACAAAGAGTTATTTATTTTGTTAATAAGAAAAAAGTTAACTGTTTATTATGCACATCAAGTGTTATTGCGTGTTAGATTATAATAAATTAAACTGCTAGTATTCGTTTACTGTCAAATTCAGAAAAGACAACTTCATGATGGTAACTTGTTAGCATACACTTTCTGAGTGCTAAAATAGTTACATATTTAATATCCAAAAATATTTTTTAAAACTTTATTCATGTTGACTTTATGAAAGCAAATTCCAATTACTTATATTAGCACATAAGCCACTGGAACAGTTTTTTGTTTTTTGTTTTTTTTTTTTTAAGAAATATCATTTAACAAGAAAAAAAGGAAAAAGTAGAAAACTAAACTTAAAAAATCAGGAAAAAATGGATCTACCATAAGTTATACAAGTTGTAAAATTGAACCATGCAAAGAAAACCTCATGTCTACTGATATAAAATAAGAGATAAGTCTGATCGGAACAGGGCTGAAGCGTGAAAAGTTAAAGTTTCCTTTTATAGTATTTGAACAAGTTGAACAAGCCCCCCACTCAAACCTAATGTGTACTGGAGAAAATATAATATGACCATCTACTCCACAGACAAGTACATGTTTACTAAATGCATATGTACTAACTCTTATACAAAAATCCTAACCATCAGAACTATGAGATTTAGTGAAGTATGTATTCAAATTCAAACTCCAACCCCATTATAAAGATTGTTCCTGCTATTGTTAGTCACTTCAATCTGGTGGTCAAATCAGAACTTGCAGAATCAAGTTTTTCCTTTTAATGTCCTTGTGATGCACATAAAAGCTGGAACTAGTAATCCAAAGATATTAGTGATAGCCCTTTAGCAGATGACCAACAATAAATACCAATAATATTCTCTTAATGTTCGCATTCCTTCCACGGTATGTTATATTTACATTTTTAACCAACATTAAAAAATTATGCATTTGACTTAAAAGACCAACTTGGTATTCTGCTTTTAATTTTGTTGGCTATCTCGGTATTTATTTCTTAGAGGCAAAATTAATTTGAGCAGCAATCTGTGAGTATAAAGAAATGACTGATAACTTGACTGGGGCATTCGAAGTTATAAAAAGACCAACATAGCCAAGTATATATGGTATAGAAATGATTGCCAATGACTGTCTGAAGGTTTCCAGACCAACTGAGATGCAGAAACATCTTGCAAGGGGAAAATGTGAATGAGTCAAGCCTTCTTGGATGTTCTAGTTGGCCAAGTCAGGAACCACATCTACCTCTGTTTCTCTCCCTCATGTATAGGACTACAGACACTAGCTTCTTGGAGTTCAAAATCCCAACAACTTATTTTCAAAGAGGAAACATCTGTCCATTAATTTCCTAGTGAAGAATTACTGATGATATTGTGTAATATATTCAGGTTTGTTCTCATCGTTCTAATTTCATTCATGATTAAATTTTTTTTTTTTTTTTTTTGAATTGGAGTCTCACTCTGTCGCCCAGACTGGAGTGCGGTCTGCTCTCCTACAATATATAAGAGCCTGCTCAAATGCCACTTACTTTGAAATACTTTTTCAAATTCACCCTCTCTGGGAGCTTTAGACCATTCATATGAAAGTACTTACCTCTTACATCACAATCTGTCTTTGACATCTTTCTTTTTCACTGGGCAGAATACCCTTAAAGCAGAAGTTCCTAGTAACCACATCACCTGGAACACAGATATCAGCAAATGTTTTTTGGGTACATAAATCAGTACATTGGTGCCCAAAAAGGTTGCAGTTCTAAAAGAAATTCAACATATTTCCCTCTACTGCAAAGAGTTTTGATAGTTTCTGAGATACTCTCCAAGCTGGTATCCCCTAGCCTACTGATGAGAACCCGCCCCCAAACAGATTGGATGCCCAAGAAAATGAAGACGGGAGCGAGTATTGTGCATATAGTCAAGGCCTGACAAATATTCTGAGAGTCTGAGTTTTGAAAATTATTTTTTAGCAATAGATTCAGAAGCACATCATTGTTTCCAATAACATGAGGCAGTGTGTTACAGTAAGAAGAGCACATGCTTTTAAACCCAACATCTGTGTTCACCGAATCACTATCTCACCACTTATTGGCTTTATGTCCTTACGCAAGCTATTCCATGCCTCAGATTCCTAAAGTGTAAAATATGAAGAAAGTCTCAATATCATAAATAAAGCATTCAGCTGTCTTTTGCACGAATAGGCCTCATATATCATAATGAGTTCCCGGCGTTATTATTAAACACTTCCAAGGTACCTGTTCTTGTACTAGGAATCTTATATACTCGATCTTCAATGGTAATGATTTTTCTAGAAAGTTGGTGTTTCATGGATAAGAATATTAAACTCAGAGAAGTTGGATAATTGGGCCTAAAGCCACAAAGGTGGCAAGCTGTGAAATCGCAGTCCCAACGCAGACTCTTCTGGCTCCAAAGACTTTGCTTGTTCCACAGCACGAGCAAAGCAGGGAGGATCTGCCCGAGGACACACAGCCCGTGTGCGTTCGAGACCTGCTGAAAATCACTAGAATAATGTGTCTGAAATTAAATATCCCAGCGGTGTCTTTTAGACCTACCCTAACCCAGGAATCCTACGGTGCACATACAACAACGTTCAGAGCCATTTCCCCATGTGACTCTGTCCCCTCTGGCATCGGCCCTCCCTGCCGTGAGAAGCTCCCCGCGGGCCCCCGGGCACTCCTGGTGCCTGTGAGCCCATTTCCTCCGGCTGGCCTCGGTGGGGGTGGAAAGCAGCTGGTCTCCATCCTCTGGACATTAGTACATTAACACTTCATCTTCTGGAGTCCACTGCCACTCCCTCACACGCCCACACTCCACACCCGGCTTTTATCTTCTCAGACTGAAAAGTCTTCCAAGCTAAACAGTCGTTGCTTTCACCACTAAAATGTGGACACCCTGGTGTAATGAGGCAATTATAACTTTGAAAAGTCTAAGGCTTTTCTGGCTACGCTCCACATCGAGGGAGTTGTCCCAAGTTTAGATATGGGGAGCATTCTGGGCAAAATTAATTTGAGAGTGAACATTCTGTCATCTAGGGAAGCGACGAGTCTCAAAGGAGGTGGTTTTCTATCACTCTTGTCTTCTCATCAGACACAGAGGAAGAACGAAAGCATTCCATTTACCTAAAATGGATGCATATGGAGCCGGGGAAGACCTCCTGATTTAATTTTCAGCAGTAAATGTGCATAATCTGCAGTTACAGGAGTAAACCCATGGCTAACGTTGGAGTTAGCCCCCAGTTCTCCAGGAAGTAATAATTACTCTGTGGAAAGCATGCACGTAAAAATCAACAAGCATCGCAACTTTTCCGCTGTGGCCCTTGGCCAGACCCCTGAACAATGAGAGATTAGCAGAGGAAATGGCAGCACAGGCATGTCTGCAGACTCCAAAGGGGCTGGGAGGCATTTATAGTCGTAGGAGAGCCACTGTGAGTAAAAGACAGGTATGTTAGATATCCTGTCTGTCCCAGTTTATCTAATGAAGATTCTCTGGTTATAACAGCCAGTGTAAGCCATTAGGCTTGTTCTTTTGAAAATCTCTGGCGATAGCTGTGAGGTCCCTTGAACAGCCACTAAGTGATTTCTGGAAACAACGATCGGCGGCAGGCCCTGTCAACCATGGGTTCCAGCAGTCAGGACAGCAGAGAATGATGTGATAATGTTCCCTATAAGTTCATCTGGAGCTAGAACCGAGTGCCTCCCACGTAAGGAGCCACAGTTAATATATTTCTTCAACTACATAGCTAGGAGGTAGCAGTGCTTGATTCTAAGGAATGGAGAGGAAAGACCTGGATGGAATAAAACAGTGACACCTTCCCTTGCCAAGGAAAATGAATCGGTAATGATATTTTTTATGTATTACAGTTTCTGGCTGTACATCATCAGAGATACGGAGGTTTACAACTTTCCAGTACCGTGTGATAATACTTTTTTAAAAAATTGAGCAGAAAGGACAAGAGTAAAGGGCATCGCCTTCAGTCATACAATCTGGCTGAACTGCAGGCCCTGAGGTCCTGCCCACTTCGGTCCAATACGCGTCACACCTCACTGTGCCCGGCTCCTCGGCAGGTCCTGCTAGCATCCTGGTTTAACGGCTCTAGGGTGGGCCTAAGAATCTGCAATTCCAGCCAGTTCCCACGCAGTGCGGGCCCTCGTGCGCATCCAAGCAGCCAAGCTTTCACCCTGCCGGGCTGCTACCCCCATGCGCCTTTGGCCACCCACCGCCCTCAAGGGCGGTGAGAGAGCAGGGTGCCTGGAAAGGGCTGCGCTTGGCGTGCGCCCACGCTCTCCCTCGGGGCTGCGGCATGAAGACCTGACAGCCGGACTCCCACCAGAGTCCTCCCTCTCCGCTCCCACCGGCTCTGCTGCCCCAAGGGCCACCCGCCCGACGTCCCGTCTAGGTGGCAGGGCGACTGGGCCGCGTGCGGCCGCCTGATCTGCACCGACCGTCCTGGTGCGCCCCCAGCCTTGACCATGCCTCGCCCTCCTTTGCGGGCCGGGAACGCACCTGGGTCTTTCTGGCCCACTCACGCCAGCGACCGGGCCCCCGCTCGCTGCAGGCGGGCTTCCAAGTGGGGCTCCTCGGCCGGCCGGAAGGGCTGCCCACGGCCACGCGGACCCCGAGCAGAGCGCCGTCCCTGCCAAGGAAGGCCCTCGTCCACCCGCCGGGCAGTCTCTGCCCGCCTCTGTCGGTCCTAAAGTGGGACCCCACCCTGCCGTGGCCGCCGGCAGTTTCCCCAGGAATGTCTGTGGCCCTGGGGTGAGCAGGACGCTTCCTTAGGCCTTGCGTGCACTCTCCATGATAGTTTAAAATGTTTGGCATTCTGCCAAGGGGACGTTGTTTGAGGCGTTATTTTCTCCAGTTTTATGATTATTTTATTCGTGCCACTTTATTTAATTCCTCTGTTATTT